CCACAGGGGAAGGCTCAAAGAGCCGCATGCGGCTCCGGAGCCGCAGTTTGCCGACCTGTGACCTAGGGCAACTAGATATCTTTACAGCCACTTATTTTCAAAACTCTAGTGTGAGAAAAATTGAAGTATTCTGAAACAATAAACAGACTAATGCAGTTTTTAAAGCTAAATTAAGAGCTTTCATCTTTATAAACGCAACTCTCCCATGGAATATATACGAGATATTCATCTTTCTATCCTATATACCAGTGATGGCAAACTTTTTAAAGACCGAGTGCCCAAAAATTGGCCCCGCCCCTGCCCCACCCCCGCTCTGCCCCCCATCCCCTGCCCCACCTGCCCACAGGACCACTCACCGCCTCCAGGGCCCAGTAGATCGCCCAGACAGCCGAGCAGCGCAATGGCAGCCACACCCTCTGCCCATGCCCCGCAGCATCAACTGTATGATGGGGATGTGAGGGCAGAGTCTTGTCTACGCTGCCTGGCTGCCATGTCCTTTGCTGCACTGCTCCATGTGGGCCACGCTTGGAGGTGACTGCCCTTCAGGGGGGCTGCTGGAGAGGAGGGGGTCGCAAGGGAGGCAAGGCTGGGGCAACGGCACATGTGCCCACAGAGAGGGATCCGAGTGCCGCCTCTGGCACCCATGCCATAAGTTCGCCACCACTGCTATATACCATGTGGGTGAGAGAGAAGAAATGAGAGTGTAAACAGTCCAGTTAGTTTTCAACACTCTCTTCAATTGTTCCTCTCCCTTTTTTTATCAGTACATTGATTTGTCCACCAAAGTCCATTTCAGTTGTTATAGTGCAAGAATGCTCCAACAAGAATTTTGTTATTGCTGCTGACAAATTCTAAGTTTTAACTTTCCACATATTTATCCATGTGCTTGTTCCAACAGAACACTGAACAAGCTAGCAGGAATTCCTCTTTTCTTTTTGCTGTGTGATTTTTCTTTCATCTTTCTTTAAGGGTTCTTTAGAGAATTAAGTCTTTTTCTCAACAGTTCCCTAATTATGAATTGAGATTGTTGCATTATAGAAATAAAAGGAAATGCTTCTTCTTTATAGTTAACTGTTGTAACATCAAACCCTATACTTGATTCTATTACTGTTTGCTTTCAATTCCTGCTACTTTCCAGGGATTCCTTCCATTTGAAGAATATATCCTTTTCTATTTTGGAATCTGTTCTTGTGTCTGAATGATAACAATAAACATGTTGCTTATTTATAGTTAAAGATTGAATATATCCATGAGTGTTCTTCTCTTTTATAACTGATATAAGCTTTCATCACAGGTATCTTGTGGGCAGGATTGGGCTTCATGTTTAGTGACCATGGTTTAAGGAACAGATTTTCTGATATTTTGTCATAATCGGTCCTTTGTTCATGCCAGCTTCAGATTGGTCATTTTTTTAGCGTTGATTCCTGATTGGTTCTTTCTGCTGGGTTCTGGTTGACTCCTTGTTCAGGCAAGTTTCTGATTTGCCCATTTTGGGGAGCTTATTCCTAATTTGTCCTGCGTTTGGACAGGAATTTGGTGTGGCACAGAATCACACACTTAGTTACTTGTATTGCAGAATCTTGCCTGAAGGTCAAAGTTATGGATACTAATACCATTTTTACTATAAGTAGCAGAATCTTGCAAGTCTGAATGGCCCTCTCCACTCTTACTTTTACATTCAAGAAAACTAGGGATGGTCAAATCTGAGATGCTCAAATTACATTTCCTGCTTTGGACTCAGACTTCTCTTGTTTGATCATTCTCTTGGTTGCAACTCTTCTCCCTTATTCTAACAGCCTATTACATTTAGTTTCTAGAGAAAGGGGCTAGTGTGGCCTTCTAACACATGGAATACCAACATTTGGGTAGGGAGAAAGCCCTGTCCATCCCTGTGATTGACAGAGCTAAACTTACCTATAGGTCAGAGAAGACTATATGTGAGCCAGTGTAGAGCATATCAGTGTTTATAATGTGTGCATGGTGGAAGGTAATTCTAGAGTCATAGGAGGGAGGGGCTCATTCCCAGAGAGCAAAGAGACAGCAAAGCTTGGAATCCTTGGTAGGCAGAAAGAGAGCAAATGTGGGAAATTGCTCCCCCCCCTCAGCAATTCACAGAGTAATATCTCATAGTATACAGAAAGTTGCTTTAGTCTGGCAAGATTTCTGTCTATAGGTGGACAATAATAAAGAACCACTCAGAAGTACACTCCTAAGAATTCATATATAATCCATATGCAGACATATCATCCAAACAACTACCCTATAGAGTGCTGGAGTCAGTAAAGGCACCCCGTACGCACACTATGAGTGCCATACTATGATACGTAGGTTGCAATTATAAATATGTGTTCACTTATATGTACACTTTCATTTTTAAATACACTAAAGCTTACAAGGTCCAAGGATTTCAGTCTGTTTTAAATAAAATACAGTATGCAATCATTCTGTAATCTTTTTTTATTAAAAGTTTTAAAGATTTTATACAATATATGTCCCAAATCCCTCCCACCCCTCCCCCACTTCCCAGAGCTGATTACAGGGTTACAAATAAACAATCATAATCTAACTAACATTACCCAACTATACAAACAATCAAATCCATAACATATTTTAACTCCTTTTCAAAATAAATATTAACAAATTAAATACAAAAATAATAATATAATTAAACCATAAAACTAAGACTAATATAAGTTCTACCATATTAAACTATTAATAATAATCTAAAATTTACTCATAAGCTAGATAATACTTTTTAGTCTCATATATATTCTGAATATAATCTATCCATCTTCTCCAAATTGAAATATATCTTTCTTGTGAGTAGTCCTTCAAATAAACGGAATGTTTTTGCCATTTCTGCTAAATTAGACACCTTGAGCATCCATTCTTCCATAGTAGGCAAAGAATCTTTCTTCCAATATTGCCCCACCAATAATCTTACAGCTGTTACAAGATTCAACATCAAATTAATTTCTTTAACATCAAAATCCACAATAACACCTAACAAAAATAATTGTGGCATAAACTTTATCTTTCTCTTAAAAATCTTTTGAATGTTCCACCAAATCTTAATCCAAAAAGCTTTTATATTTCTACAAGTCCACCAAATATGAACATAAGTTGCATCTAAGCTTCCACATCTCCAACATTTGGGCTGTAAATTAGGATACATACAGGACAGCTTTTGAGGATCCAAATGCCACCTATAAAACATTTTATAAAAATTTTCTCTTAAATTTTGAGCTTGAGTAAATTTTACATTTCTAACCCAAATTGTCTCCCATGTGTCCAATAGAATTGGCTCTTGAATATTTTGTGCCCATTTTACCATACAGTCTTTAACTAACTCCGTTTCAGAATCCAATTCTATTAAAACATTATAAATTCTCTTTATATGGGCTTGAGTTTGATCTTTAATCTGTTTTACCAAATTCATGTCATCTAAAGTAATACCAACTCTAAAGTAATACCAACAATCATTCTGTAATCTTGATTATCTGACACTAATTTCTCCTCATGGCAGCTCGTATTGCTTGAGCATCTTTTCTGATCCAGGCATTTTCCATGTCCTGTGCTAAATCCCTTTTTGTTCTTATTTTTCATTCATGTCCTGCTGCATGGTTCTTAATTTTTTCCTGCTACAAAAGAGATGGTTTAACATTTTTTATCCTTTTACCATTTTTGTACATCCTTTATAGGTGTTTGTTTCCAGGAATATTTTATGAGCTGCCGAATTTAATAATGGTGAATAAATCCTGACTTTTTAATTGGCAGCTTTCCTGTGCTTTAATCCTTCGTTTGCTTTTCATCCTTTGCTCTCTATACATCGGGCTCATCTTGCTACTCTGATCTGTTCTGCTGCTTTAATTACATAGTGAGGCAGCTGAACATTTCAAGTTTCTTATTATTAACAGTGCCTTGTTTAAAGTTTTCAATCATGAAGCAAATGATGATTCATCTGAATTTGACTATCTTTGAAATTATACCTGGGTGTATTCTTACATTTACTATTCCCAACAGATTACACAATAGCACTGATTAGTAGCAGCATTTGTAATACCTCTTAAAGATTTATCATAGTGGAATACTATCAGCAATAGTATTTAATTCACTTATGTCTACACAATTCATCTCTACTGGCTTCTGTTCATTTCTTCACTGTATATTCTCTCTCTGATCTCCACGTAACAAGATATGATGTCCCCAAGTTATATGTTAGGACAAAATGTAGAAAATGCTAATAAATGGCTTTGGGTCCTTGACTTTTTACTTCACTAATTGCTATTTGCATTTGTGTGTCACATTGCTATACTTCTCACAAATGAACTTAATATAGATGATTCATTAAATTGGGAGGAAAATATGATAAAAGTGGCAATGGTAATATTGGCTAGTTCAGAGGCAAACAAGAAAAATATATTTTAGAAGATATCCATATTTTAAAAGGGGCTTCATTAGATTTACCTTTTAAGTCTCAGTGTAATTTATGTTTGTGCAGTGCTGAATGTATATATACTGTAGGCATTTTGCCTTGTCTCTGAAAAAAACCTGGAATGGGACTAGAAGTTTATTGTTGATAATTATAGTGAATTTGTGTTTACTTTGTCTGCTTAACATCTGCTGCTACAGAGCCCTTATTTAGCAACCGCCCTGTTTAGCAAACATTTGCAATTATGACAGTGATAAAAAAATGTAACTTTGAGACCAATCTTCACATTTATGAGCCTTGCAGGTCTGTAAAGCAAAGGAAAGTGGAAAGATGGTTGTAAGCACAGTTGTGGTTTCACTTGGCAACTGCTTTGATTAACAACCAAGTTGCCAGTACCAATTGTGTGATCACTAACTGAAGAACACATGTATTTTCTGATAATATGATTTTAAAAGACAGATTATTATCACTGACATTTAGTTAAAGTGATGTAATCAAACTTCAGTTGAGTAGGATTCCTGTTTTATGTCAGTAGTACGTGCTGACATTGGGTTGTTGTGTCTCCCAGGATCGATGCAAAGCATCAGGAACTACGTCAGAAGCAGATCAGGGGACTTGCTGAGTATTCCACAGTTCCTATGGGAGCCCCGCCTGATCTTGATGATGATGAGACAGACCCAAATTACGCACGAGTGAACCACTTCCGAGAAGTATATCCAGTTATCAACTCCTACCAGCTTTCTTCTCCACCTGTTTCTGAAGCTTATGGTGGGTGCAATAATCCTGCAGCACCTCTGGACAGGGACCACTTAGAAGGATTATATGCAAGGATAAACAAGCCATCCCACCAGCATGCTCCTGTTGAGAGGTAACACTCATGCCATGGGGAAAAATTAATGCATGTTTGAATATTTTTAAACGCAACAACCATATTATATTGAAATTGACATGGTAACTATATTCTATTGTGAAGAATTTAATTTGAGTATTTTTGGCAATGCTTTCAATGATGTACTCCTGCAGTTTTACAACTGCAAGTGATATTATGTAAGCACAGTGAAGACCTTGGAACAGTTTGGAAATAAATCACTGCATGTGTTTGTGAAGAATCAAAGAAGCATTCTATACATCTTTTTTATGAACAGAATGCTTCATATACATAGCAAGCTTTCCACGCACATTCGAATGTGTCTTCCATATCTCCTTCTCTCCTTCAGCATTTTCTTACCTTACTCTTTTACCTGTGCAAAGTTGCAGGATTTTATTACTATCTCAGCCAGGTACAGCACTCACAATCAATCTTCTTTTTTTTCCCTTTTCCCCTTCTGATATCCTATTGTTTGTGATGATTTGTTAATAGGCAATGTCACTTTGGTCTCCACCTCCCAAACACATGCATAACTACAGCAGAGAGGAGACAGTCCAAATGCAGTTTTAGCAATACGGTACCATGTCCCCAAGTGCTTCAGAAGGCTTTCTGATGCAAATTTGTTCCCCACGCTGCCCTGATCACAGTATTTGTAGTTTTTCAGTAGAGGCTTAAGGCTGTATAGCCATTGAAGTTCTATGTCAACATATTCATATTCTCTCATTCTGAAGTCATTTGCTTCAGGGTTTTTTTTAATGAAGAGGGGTCCCCTTGTTTACAATGTATAGTTTTATTCAAAGGGGCTGAATAATCTTAAATGATCAAGAATTTGCTTAAAAGGAAACAAAATAAATTTGCATCATTAGTAGATTCATTACTCAAAGTCATTATAAAATTGAAATTATTATCAAAAGGCTCTTCTTTCACAGAGACTTAATTGACCTGCCTCAAATTAAATTTCAGTACAAATTAAATAGTTTTTTTTCTGTGCTCTGAAGTCCTGTACCCTTACAGACTTTCATGTTCAGGATTTTTGGGAAAGAGGAATGACATCATTTTATACCCAATTGCTAGAAAAAAAACTTGTTGCTTATACACTTTTTACTCTGTAAGTTTACAGTTTGCATTTTCCATATTCTATGATGTTATATGCTTTCAATTAAGCCAGAGGAAGATCTGAGAATGATGGCATATTTATGCAGATTGCAAAACATAGCTTCATAAAACAGATTACTTTTCAGGGTCTTTTGAATAATAAGCAGGGAGAAAGGAGCCATTTTTAATCCTTAATGTCAAATTTCTAGAATGATAGCGTTATTATTATATGACTGAAAGAAAGCATGCATCCCTAGTCACAGTCATGGAATCATAACAATGAGATTCTGAAATCTGGCACTGGAGATTACAAAAGCTGTCTTTGATGTGGCTTCCTATGTTTAGAGAAGACACTTTTGAGGGAACTCTCCAAAAGTGCAAACAAGACAGATAGCTGGAGGCAACCGAAGAGGAAGAAGTCACTACTGAGATGTGTGGAACTGTTCTTTTTTTTGGGGGGGGGGGGAGCATGCTTGTTTATCTTAGTTTTTGAAATAAAAAAACAGTATTGAACTGAAATTTCTTTTGGGGGGGGGGAGAGGCAACTTCAACATTTCTTTATAGCCAACTTTATTTCAATTATTGTAACATTTTAAATGTTTTAGCTCTCTCATAAATATTATGAACATTATTGCTCATATTATAGATACTGTATAAGCTTTAGTGAATTAAGCCATATACTATATTACTTATATAATTAATTACGAAAGCTGACAAAGATGACTGATTTTGGCTTAACTTCATGGTCCTCACTCATCTGAGAAATCTGGATAATAATAATAAAAGTATATTCATCCTATGATGCTTTTGATAAAGTGTTTTAAATCATGACTTACCTTTATTATAATGTTGGTATTTGAAGTTTTATTACTATTTGTTAATGTTTGGAGGCTTCCAGCTGTTTTTCTATTTTGTGAACTGCTCAGAGTGGTGGTTACAATATGAGCAACTACATGAGTCTTTTTAATTTACATCTATGCTTGTGTATGCATATATATGTCTATATATGTATGTGTGTGTACATAAAAACAAACTTGCCCTCACAATAAGCACAACCAGGTAAGTATCTGCATCCTTTGGCTTGAGGTTCTTTCATGGTGCTTACTTCAATAATGTTATAAAATTCATTTTACAGACATGATAAAAAAAATTTGTTTTGTAAAATGACTGGTTGAGGAAGATTGCCCGTTCATGAACTAGTTGCTGCATTAAGTGTGGACAAGTGAAACAGCACCTCTTTTAAAGGAAGTCCTTGAATTACGACTGTAATTGAACCCTGGAATTAAGGTTGTAAGACATTGCAGACATAAGTCATGGCACCCACATGACCTAAGTAATTTTCTGGCCTGTATAATCGTAAACCCAGAGATCGCAAAGCAAATTTGAATGGGTGTCTTTTGCCAAAACCCAGCAAAAATATTTTGAATCGTGGCCGTTTGATCGCAGAACGCCATGACCAGTCATAAAGCCATGTCATGTGATCATGTGACCAGGGAGGATTGGCACAACCATTTATGATGGTGGAGTTGCTTTACAGTGCAGTTGTGTGAATGCCGTAACTTTGAACAGTCATAATATGAACAGTCATTAAACAAAAACTATCTATATAGAAAGTGAGGCTTCTCAAGCTAAAAGAAAAAAAAATGGAATGTGAGCAGCAGCTGTGTCTAAGCCTCAAAACCCAAAACATTTGAATACAACATTCTCTCGTTCCCTATCCTCTGTGTATGCAACACCCCCCTATTGTACCCACTTATTCTATTCATGTATCTTCTGTAAGGGCCATCTATTTCAGAATCATTTTGTTTCACACATACAAGTCTAAATGTGCTGTCTTTATTATCATAACATTGGGATGTGGACGACTGGTTATAGTATCATAAGCTAATGTCTTTCTAGCATATTTTATTGTGTGGATTCAGATCACTTTTTACCATAGCCCCAGTTTTGGAAAACTAGGTATAAATACACAATGGTTTGCTAGGTTAGAATCTTGATCTAAGAAAACTGCTTGTAGTAACATTCTGATCCTTAAAAAAATATATTCTTTTTTTTTCACGAACTAAAATCTTCAGCAAATAATTACTTTAAAAATGAAGAAAGCACCAAGAAATAAAGAGCAAAGAGTCAAAAGAGGACAATAGAACCCTAAACCGGCGTGTTTCAAACTCAGCAACTTTATTCTTGTTGGAGAATTCTGGAAGTTGAAAGCCACACCTCTCTCTGAGGTTGAGAAACGCTGCCTTGGACTACCTTTCCTAATGAAACTGCTCCTGTCACACCTGATCAGGTGCAAGTAGGGAAAGCCCCTTCGATTCTGACTTGGGTTCAGATGTAATGGAATTAGATACGTGTACAGGAAATCTGATCTCAACTCATGGTTTAAGTCTAGAATTGAGATGCAAATTTCAGTTTACAAATTATTGCTTCTGTTTTCTGTTTAAGACCTTCTCCTTTTTTTACCACCCTGTAATTCCTTAATTTGAAATAGAATCAGGGCAACTGGATGGAGCTGAGCATTTACTGACCGGATGCCCTTCCTGAAGTCACGTTGAGTTCTCAGCAGATATTTTTTCTTTGTGCCCTAGGAGAGAAAAATCTGCTGTTACCTAGGATTGAACTCTCAGTCTTCTAAGTGGAAGGCGAGAGTCTTCACCACTAGGTCACCACACCGCTCATGGTGTCTAAGGGCCTCATTTGGAAGTAAAATAGCTATTATTGTGATGTACACAAAAGCATACCCGATCCAACTAAGTTTACTGAAAAATTGCTGGCAAGGACTTCCCCACCCCTAGTGAAAAATAGTTTTAAAACAATTCAGTGATATTTATTTTAAAAATGTTCATTTCTCTGTTTATATTTCAATTATAGACGAAACTCCATAATGCCCTTTAAACAAAAACAGATTTTACTTCCTCCACCAGGCAGCTCTGTAATAGGAATTTTAACTTTTTATGTCTGTGCACATTATTTTTTTTTAATCTGCCATTTAATTTTAAATGCTAATATGAATGTGAGTAATTAAAAAGCCAAAATTGACGATGAGGTTAGTAAGCTGCAAGAATGGGAAAAGGGAGATCATTATGCCTCTGTTCATGGATAGCTATTTGCAAAACAACTGATAATGTGCAAAATGAAGATTTTATAAGTGGAATTTTAAATCAATGGTTAATGGCTTGAAGATTAATTAAATGGAGTTGTACCAAAGAGAACCTGCTACAATCTTGTTTATAGGCCAGTCACTTAGAAAGTGAAAGTGCAGGAAAGCTATGCTACTTCCATTTTGCAGACAATTTAGAGTGTTTTATTCCTTGAACCTTTTGATTACCTTTCCAAAATGCATAGGTTTCTTAATTAATATGTGCAAGGTCAGAAAAGCTTTAATGCAGAATATGTTAAGATAAGTAACTGACGTAAAACAAATTATAGGGCTTTGAATTTATTCTTTGACCAGTATTGCATTTCCTAATCATGAGTGTTCTGGGGATGGTGCAAAGAATGAAAACATTGCCATTTGTGAGAGCTACAAAAATGCAATATCCCTGGAATGAAAGTGCTAGCTTGGGGAAAATATTTGGATTTCAAGGCAGCTGCATATTTTATGTCATTTTATTTATTGTGCAATAATATGGCTGCCTGGAAAAACCATTACAATGAAGTGTTCATTCCTAGATTATACTCAAACATGCACTTCGCCACAGATGTTGTGAGTATATTGAGTTGTGTAAGAGTAACTGTAGCACCAAAAGAAATAATGCATATTTGTGGCAGAGTTCTTTCCATTGTACAATGTGTACATTTTAGTTGTTATGTACATACTTTGGCTCTCTGCTTTTCCAGACCAAACCATGGAGCATCATTTCTCTGTACTGTCATGTTTATTATTAGACAAATTAACAATTAGA